CAGGAATGCAGGGCCCTCACGCGCTGTTGACGTCTCTCTCATCTCTGTGATGTGTTTGCACGTGTGTGCGTGTGTGTGTGGGCTTTTATCCGCGGGCACATTAGCGTGCCTCTCCGGGAACGTGACCCCACCTGTGTGTGCATGTGTGCCCTCCTCGCGTCCAGGCTGGGCCATCTGGAGGTTGGTGTGCCTGGTTTTGCCCTCTCTGAGTCCACAGGGTCAGTCGGTGTATCTTCTATGTGCCTCTCCCTCGGCCTTCCCTCGCAGTGCCCTGGGCTCCAGAGGGACCCTCCCCACTCCTGGAACATCCAGGACCCTCGGGTCCCTTTTCCCCAGCAACCAGGCAGCTGAGCCAGGTCCCTTAGCAGGCCCTCTGAGGAGAGGTAACCAAGAGCCTGGGTGCAGGGAGCAGCTCTCCTGTGGGCCAGGGGCTGGACCACTCGCCTGGGCCATGGACATGGTTCTATGCTCGGGGCTGCAGGGCTGCAGGGATGGCCCCAATCCCACCTCTGTTTATTCTGTAAACTACAACCTGTAAATAACATTTAGCATTCCTATTGTAACAAAATTAATTTTTATGAAATAAATTATATTTCCTAGTCTAATAAAAAATTCAGGTTGTATTCTGTCTTTTTTCTTTTTTTTTAGATTTTTTTTTGGTATGGATGGACTTTTTTTTTTTTAATGTCTTTATTGAAGTATAATTGCTTTACAATGTTGTGTTAGTTGATGCTGGATAACAAAGAGAATCAGCTATATGTATATATACATCCCCATTTCTCCTCCCTCTTGTGTCTTCCTCCCTCCCACCCTCCCTATCCCACCCCGCTAGGTGGACACAAAGCACCGAGCTGATCTCCCTGTGCTATGTGGCTGCTTCCCACTAGCTGTCTATTTTACATTTGGTAGTGTATATATGTCCATGCCACTCTCTCACTTTGTCCCAGCTTACCCTTCCCCCTCCCCGTGTCCTCAAGTCCATTCTCTACATCTACGTCTTTATCCCTGTCCTGCCCCTAGGTTCTTCATGACCATTTTTTTTTTTTAGATTCCATATATATGTGTTAGCATACGGTATTTGTCTTTCTCTTTCTGACTTACTTCATTCTGTATGACAGTCTCTAGGTCCATCCACCTCACTACAAATAACTCAATTTCGTTTCTTTTTATGGCTGAGTAATATTCCATTGTATATGTGTGCCACATCTTCTTTATCCATTCATCTGTTGATGGACACTTAGGTTGCTTCCATGTCCTGGCTATTTTATTTATTTATTTATTTTTTCTGGCTATTTTAAATAGAGCTGCAATGAACATTGTGGTACATTACTCTTTTTTTTTAATAAATTTATTTATTTATTTACTTATTTTTGGCCGCATTGGGTCTTCACTGCTGTGCACGGCCCCCCTCTGGTTGCGGCGAGCGGGGGCCACTCTTTGCTGCAGTGAGTGGGCTTTTCACCGTGGTGGCCTCTCCTGTTGCGGAACGCGGGCTCTAGGCACATGGGCCTCAGCAGTTGCAGCACGTGGGCTCAGTAGTTGCAGCTCATGGGCTCCAGAGCACAGGATCAGGAGCTGTGGCGCACAGGCCTAGTTGCTCTGCAGCATGTAGGATCCTCCCGGACCAGGGCTCAGACCCGTGTCCCCTGCATTGGGAGGCGGATTCTTAACCACTGCACCACCAGGGAAGTCCCACATGAATCTTTTTGAATTGTGGTTTTCTGTGGGTATAAGCCCAGTAGTGGGATTGCTGGGTCGTATGGTAGTTCAATTTTAGTTTTTTAAGGAAAAGCCATACTGTTCTCCATAGTGGCTGTATCAATTTAACTTCCCACCAACAGGGCAAGAGGGTTCCCTTTACTCTACACCCTCTCCAGCATTTATTGTTTGTAGATTTTTTGATGATGACCATTCTGACCCATGTGAGGTGATACCTCATTGTAGTTTTGATTCGCATTTCTCTAATGATTAGTGATGTTGAACATCCTTTCATGTGTTTGTTGGCAATCTGTATATCTTCTTTGGAGAAATGTCTGTTTAGGTCTTCTGCCCATTTCTGGATTGGGTTGTTTGTTTTCTTGATATTAAGCTGCATGAGCTGCTTGTACATTTTGGATATTAATCCTTTGTCAGTTGCTTCATTTGCAA